CTATGAGTGGATGATAACAGCCAGTCTCGTTGTGCTTGGGGCCACTATGAGTGGATGATAACAGCCAGTCTCGTTGTGCTTGGGGTCACTATGAGACAGGGCCAACTAGAGGGCAGCTAACAACAACAACAGGTGCAGCCTGGGCTTCGGGGATTTTGAAAGCACCCGCTGTGATCACAGAGTGTAGCCAAGGCTGAGTAGCATTGCATTGTAGATGGTTCAATCTCTAATCCCTTTCATGTCCCCCCCTTCCACCACTATTAGAAATATTTGTTCAAGTTTGAAAGTACATTACAGGCATCTGCCCTTTTTTTTTTGCAAATCTGTTTATATATGAAAAGCAATAGCCCAAGAAGCAAGGATATCGGTTATACAGAGAAGTGCATTTATTTTTTTCTTTGACCAATGAGATCTTTAGCTTTATCTGACAGATAATAGTGAAACATGAGTTCCATTGTTGGCATGGCCAGGGGCAGGGAGATCAGAAACCTTTTCATGACTTTTAGCCAAGTGGTTCAGGCATAGAGGGCATTTCAGCTCAAGTATTATTTGCTTTGGGTTTGACATATCATTACTCCTTTATTGTTGTTGTTTTAAAGCCTTGAGACAGGTCTTTATAAACGTTTTTTAAAATCATTTTTTAATTTGCTACTCTGCAGTTTTATAAGGTAGGCAAGTCTTGATTTCAGTGTGGACTTTTTGAAATTGTGTTAGTGAAAATATGAAATAAGATATATTTAATTTACCCTTGGAGATAGAATACAAATTGTAAGTGCATGTAATTAACATCCAATTGGTACACATTTACATGTGCATTATAGATTTTAGTGACTGAAGTTTAATAACATTATATGCATTGCAGATAGAAATTCTATAAGCATTTTGGCAATTAACTACTAAAAAAAACAAACTCATTGCCTTCGAATCAGTTCTGAATTGTAGCAACCCTATAGGACAGAGCAGAACTGCCCCATAGGGTTTCCAAGGCTGTAATGTTTACAGAAGTAGACTGCCACACCTTTCGGCTAGCAACGGAGTGTTTTAACCACTGTGCCACCACTGCTCAAAAGAAGTTACTTAATTAGAGATGCTCAGTTTAGGCGTAACTAAGGAGGCTGCATGACTGAGGCAGCAGTTTCCAAAGTGCAGATAAATTCTAGGCCCCCAGCCAGGCCTAATCAGTCAGAATCTCTTGGGACTGGAGCACAGGAATCTGTATGTTCACAGCACTTCAGATGATTCTGATGTCCGCTACTGTTGGGGGACCATAGACCTAAAGGAAATCAAAGCTTCCTCCTTTGAGAGGCACTGGGATAGAGCACCTTTGAATTACCTGGGGAGCCTAAAGAATCCCAGCGCCCAGACCACACCTGTAACAATTAAATCACAATTACTGGAGGTGGACACAGCCTTTGGTATGTTTTAAAACACTCTAGATAATTCCAAAGTGCATCCAAGTTTGGGGTGGAGAGAATTTTTTGACTGACATTAGGCCACCACATTTTCAGCTCCTCCACAGGGCTCAGGTATGATCTGTGTATTTCAGAGTCAGAGCACAGCATAACACCATACTTGCTTTTGAGTAAGAGCGTGCATGGTGTTGTATTGTTATGCTAAGTTCCTGATAATGTATATGTTTTCCTTGGAAGCTGAGGTTTACAAAATGTGGTTCTTGGACCTTTGGGGTTCCCTGAGGCCTTTTCAGGGAATCCTGGACATCAAAACTATTTTTATAATAATACTAACATGATACTTGCCTTTTCCACAGTGTTGACACTGGTGTAAAAGGCAGTGATGGGTAAAACTGCGGAGGTCTTAGCACAGATCAGGGCAGTGAAATGAAACTGTACTAGTAGCCATTGTATCTTTAAAGCCACGTGCTCGCTGTGGAAAAAAGAAAAAAAAAAAAAAACCCACTAGTTTCACTTAAGAATTTTTCTAACAAGGCGGGAAACATTGATTTTACTAATCTCAACTCTTAAGTACATATCTTTTTAATACTCTGTGTAATGAAATGGGAAGTCCGCATACAGCACTTCTGCAGTGTATTAAAGTATCATGGCCGACTCCAGGAAGAGCATCTGTGGGATTGTTCGAGTTGTGAGCTGAACTAGCCAGTTTTTGTTTTTTCCATGGAACACCATTTTTACTTGAAAAAACAACTAACAA